CCCACCCCTCCTCCCACCCTCCCAGATTTTGGAGGCCGACCTGGTGCTGTGGAGCGCGGGGCAGGCGCCCGTGAGCAGGGCAGGCGCCGCCACCCCCAGCCTCAGCCTGCCCTTCCCCACCAACGCCCGCGGCGCGATGCAGACCGACGCCTCGCTGCGCGTGCTGCGCCACCCGCGCGTGTTTGCGCTGGGGGACATCTCGGTCAGGTGTGTGGGGGGCAGGGGCGGCGGCGAGAGCTGGCCAGATGTGGCCGCGGCAAGCACCGTGTCGCTGCTGTGGTCCACCAGCCTCAGCGCTCACGTTGCACTCGCGCGCGCCGCTCCCCCTGCTCTCCCATCCACCACCGCCGCCGCCGCCGCCGCCGCCGCCGCCGCCCCCTCCTGCCTCTGCAGCAGCGGGGGCCGGGAGCAGCCCGCGCTGCCGGCCACCGCCCAGGTGGCATTCCAGCAGGCCGACTATGTGGCCTGGAACCTGTGGGCAGCCATCAACGCCAAGCCCATGCTCAGCTTCAGGTGCGGGACGGCTGTGGCGCGGGGGGTGCGGCGCGGGGGTGAGCGTGTGTGGTACGGGCACGCATGCGTGGGCTTGACGCCGGGCGCCTCACAGCCCGGCAGCCCGGCTGTGTTTAGGGTTGGGGAAGTCGAGTCGTGCCGCCACCACACACATACAATCGCGCAGCCGCACCACCACCACCACCACCATCACCCCCCACCCCCCACACCCCACACACCCCCTGCTGCAGCTACCAGCACCTGGGAGACATGATGTCCCTGGGCACCACCAGCGGCGCAGTGACGCTGCCCATCCCCGTGCCGCCGCAGCTGTCGGCGGCGGTGCAGGCGGCGGGGCCGCTGGGGCAGCTGCTCAAGGCGGCGGGCGTGAAGCTGAGCGGCAGCTACGGCGGCGGCGCCGACGGGGTGACGCTGGAGGGGCCGCTGGCGGCCGCGGTACGCCGTGCCGCCTACCTGTACCGCCAGCCGACGCTGGAGCAGCAGCTGAGGGTGGCGGGCGGCTGGGCCCAGTCGGCCAGCAGGCAGCTGAGGGAGGTGCTGGGGGAGGCGGCGGGCAGGGGGAAGTGAGGACCCCGGGCTTCCCCTCCACCACACAGCACAGCACCTACACAGCGCAGCACACGTGCAGCCCTCGTGCCCGGCATGACCATGCCATGCCGCCAGTCATACCAACCATCTCAACGCATGAACACAAACCAGTACTGCCCCCATTTGATTGCCTCCTGCTCCATTTCGTCGCTGTAACGCGTTTGTGCGCCGGTCACAGGGGTTCCAGCACTTCACGGCAGTCAGCTGAACAACTTGTGGTCGATGAGGGTGCCGCCTTGCTTGCCCCAGCCCTGGTATCACCAGGCTCGCTCAGGTGTTACTTACATTCATGTGTCCCTTTCTCTCCTGGCCGCCACAATGCTGCTGCTCACCCTGCGCCCCAGGTTGCCCACCGCCGGCCCGCCCGCCAGGTAGACCCACGCTATCCAGGAGGGGATGCCCAGGAAGCTTGGGTGGGTGTAGGTGTAGGCGTGCAGGCCGTTGATGAGGGCAACCTCCACGGCGGGGCCTGCCACCGCGGTCAGGCAGGCCATGAGCAGGCCCTGCGGACTGCAGTCAAAGGCCCACCACAGCGCCACCCCCGACGACAGCAGCAGCGCGTCCAGCGCCGGCAGGCCGCCGGGCAGGGCCTGCCTGAGCAGCGGCTCCTCCAGCGTGCCGCTGGCCGCGTACTGCAGCACAAACAGCGTGATTGCTGCCAGCACAAAGGACCAGGACGGGTCGGCGCCGCCGCGTGGCTGCTGCCCTCCCCGCTCCTGCTGCCACGCGTCCAGCAGCGGGTGAGACACGCCCAGGATGATGCCCGCTGCCGCGAACAGCAGCGGCACCCACCTGCAGGGCCGAAAGATGAGGGAACGGAGGTCAGTACAGCAGGTAGGCTGCCGCTATGCAGCCAGCAACCAGGCAGGCAGCTCGCTCACCAGCATGTCTCCAGGCGCAGCGGCCCCAGCGAGAGCAGGGAGGGGTGGGCGTAGTGCAGCACATCGTGCTGGGAGTGCTGCCCATCGCACAGGGGCCCGAGAATAGCCGACGCCATACCCATCACCAGCGACTGCTGCCAGAGCCAGGTGGCATCAAACTGGGCTTGCTGGCCCCGTGGTGGCAGCGGTGGCGGCGGCGGCGGTGAGCCTCCAGACTGTCGCACTGCAGATGGTCGGCATTGTCTATAACTGAGGCGCGCACCACACCCAGCGAGCTGAATAAGTTGGATTGGCCGCTGCGCCCCTTGAGCCGCCAAACACCCAGCCATTCGGAGGGTGAGCGTGGTAACACGGAGGCAGTTCAATGGTGTTCGATGGGATGCGGAGAAGTGATAGTCGCCGCTCAACGATCATCCAGAGGCGGTCGCCAGAGGAGGTGGCACAGCTGGCGCAGCATGCCGCCTTTGAGACAGTGGCTGAAGCAGTTGCTTGGCTTATTCTAGGAAGAATCGCCTTCTATTACACATTTGGATGAACAAAGAAAAGCAGAGCAAGCAATGTGCTGCAGGTGGGTCAGAGAGCGAGAGTCAAAAGGCCAAGCAAGAATGCCCCGCGAGCCGTTAACCGTCCCGAGAATGGCGGGAGGCTCCTAATAACCTAAAAGCGTCTCTAGAAGTCTAGAAGGGTGTCCCAAATGAGGGAGTCAACGTGCAAAAACACAGCCCATTGGACTGCGGTCAGCTAACCTAGATATTCTACCAGCCGCCCGCAGGCATCGGGGCGAGCAAAACAACACAAACAGGCGAGAATACAAACACGCACGCATCATCGGTACAGGGGTGCGGCCCTGCTCATTAATACATACTAGGGCTGGGCGCGTGCGGGCGGGATACACTGCGATACGACAATGTATCCTAAGCCGGCAGCGCCAGGGAAGGGGTGTGGCTGCGGGCGAGCCTAGCCAGCCGCAGCGGCGCAACAGGGTGGCTGGGCGCATGGCTGAGCAGGCCAGGCTCACGAAGCCTGCACCCACAGCACGGGCGACAGGTCCACAGGCAGGTCGCCCATGGGCAGCGCAGGGCGGTTGCCTTGGCCCAGCGCCCTGCTGCCCTCCTCAAGGAACAGCTTGCGCGGCTTGTTGGCGGCAGCAGAGGCGGTGGAGGGCTTTGCGGGGGAGACAAACATGCCGCAGGCGGCGGCCAGCTCGTCGGCATCTGCAGGGGAGAGCAGCGGGGCAGGGGGCGCGGGAGCAGTGTTGTGCGCAGTAGGGGGGAGACACTGGGATTTGCTCCTCGGGCAGGCAGCTTAGCATTCCAGTGCGACAGCGGCCGGCAGCAGCCGCACCTGGGCTGAACAGGCTGCCGAACAGCATGTTGGGCGAGGGCTCCACCTCCGACGCGGGCCCAGGCGGAGGCAGCACCGCGGCCACCGCCGCCGCGTGCATGGCCACCTGCTGCCGCAGCTGCGCTGCGTGGGCCGCGCGCAGGGAGGCGTGGATGTGCAGCAGCGCGTTCCACAGCTGCTCATTCTCCAGGGTGATGGCCGCGTGCTGCGGGCAGAGTGTTGTGGGCAGGGGCACAGGGCAGGCAGGCAGAAGTGGGTGTGTGGAAGCAAGGGATACAGGTGACGCGCTGCATGCCTGTTCAGAATGCAGAAGAGGGCCCTGCTGCCGGCAAGCGGGCCGAGGCGGCAGCCACCAACCTGGGCCTCAGCCTGGCGCAGCGACTGGCCGACCGCGTCCCCCAGGCGGTGCACGCGATGCACCTGCGCCTCCAGCTCCTGCATGCGGTCATACTGCACCCGCCGCCGCTTCAGCGAAGCGTCGTCCCCGGCAGGGGTGGACGCCGCGCTGGGCTGTGCCGGCGCGGGGAAGGAGAAGCTGGCCTGGTTGCCCAGGGCGCGCTTGAGGGCGTTGCTGCCGTCCGCGCGGGCAGCAGCCTGCAAACAGGAGCAGGTGCGAGTCAAAGCCAGCCAAACACCTACCCATGCGCCTGTGCTGTGCCCTCATAGTCCCAGCCTGGCTACTGGAGCGGGGATGCATCTGATCAGCCCCTGGCCATCCACCGATGCCTGCTCACCTGGCCCACCGCCTTGAGCGTGCTGGTGGCCTGCTGGCCCGCCTCCTCATCACACGAGGTGTGGCCGCTGGAGCCCTTGCCCAGCGTGGGCTCCTCAGCAGCTGTTGCCGCGGTCGGCTGCTTGGCTGCCGCCTCGGGCGGGGCGTCTGCCGCTGAGCTGGCCCGCGAGACGTGGGTGCTCTGCAGATGGGGCCAACCAAGGCATGAGGATCAGATCAAAGGAGGGCGGGTGGTGCATGTGTGGCTTTATCCACCCTGGGGCCAGCACAGGCGCTGGGATGCAGCAGCTGCATTGGTCTGGCCAATGGAACAATCCCCGTAGCAAGCAAGACAGCGCCTCATCCAACCACGCCCTGGTGCCCCAGGATGCCCAGCCACACTCGCCTGCTCCGCCCACACCGCCTTGATCGTCTCCTCGGCCTTGCCATAGTCGGCTGCCAGCCCGTACTTGGCTGCCACTCCCGCCACCAGGTTGCCCACCTCCTGCTGCTTGGCCTCCACCGTCTTGGCCACCACCCTCTGCGTCAGAACCGCCACCAGCTCCTGCTGCGGCTGCTGTGGACCGGCAGCGGGCGCAGGCGCTGGTGCCGCATCGGCCAGGTTGGCGCAATCCTGCCCGGGCATCGTGAACAGCTCCAGGTGGGAGGCGGAGCGGCCTGCAGGCAGCCAGGGAGGGGGTTTGTGGGCTGCCGCGATCAGAAGGAGGTGGATGCAGGCCAACAGTGGGCGACAGCCGCCGACACATGCCCGGCGACCGGCACCCCTGAGCAGACCTTTGAAAACGGCATCGCCAGGCACGCCGCCCGGCGAGGTCAGCACGTCAAAGGAGAGGCGCCCCTCCTGCACCACGGGCGCCGGCGAGGCAAACATCGCCCACGGCTGCTGCGCGGGGGAGGCCAGCAGGTGGCTGTAGTCGTCGCGCCCAGGGCCCGTGGGGCTGCTCAGGAAGGCGGCCATCGCTGCTGTCGCTGCGCACGCCGAGTCTCCCACAAAGCTGTCGCGACCGGGATTGGGGGAGCTGTGGACGGCCAGAATGACCCTAAGGGCTTGTTGCGCAAGATACAGCAGGAGGGGGCAGGTGGGTGGGGCTGAATTTCGCATTCCAGCCACCCACGCCACGTGCGACCCACCCTGCAGGGCCCTGGAACGAGCCCCAGCGCACTATCAGGCCTTGAATCGGCAACCCTTTGCTTTCGAGAAGCCTCAGAAGCTGCCTTGAGGGCTCAGAAGCTGCTGGGTGCCGCCAGCTTGAATTGGCGCCCACAACCCCCGTTGCCTGATCGCATGTCCGTCTGCTTGAAAGCTGTTGTAGGGTCCAGTGAGTTGCACGTGGATGCATTGGGGCGCCCGGCGCATTGGGCGGTGCCACGCACCATGTGGATGTTGGCAATCAGCGACGGGTGGCACCACAGTGTATGGCATACACACTTCAAACCCATGCATGGTTCTGTGCACATGTTGCCCCGCACAAGTCAGAAGTCATGGAAATCACACTGCAATGCAGGCATGGCTGTACAAATGCCGAACCCAATTAAATAATGCATGAACACATCACATCCTCGAGTAAACACGTAACCCGTTCCCTACACCACCTGCTGCCGCCTCGCAGCCGGTGGCGGCACGGCTCGCTCACGGCGCCACCACGCCGGCGGGCGTCTCCTTGCGCTGCTGCTGCCGCCGCTGCTGGCGCCGCCGCCTGCCACTGCCCACCCAGCGCGCCAGCGGGCCCAGGCCCAGGCGCAGGCCGTGGGAGCAGTGGGCCACCGCCAGCGCCGTGGCGGCATGCAGGATGAAGCCCAGCGCCAGCATGACCAGGGCGGCATGGGCCGAGGCATTGGCGCAGTAGTCGCGAATGTCCAGCAGGCGGGCGCTGTCCAGGGGCCCGCTCAGGGCGGCGCCGGCGGACGGGTCCTCGGGGTTGAGACCCAGCTTGTACAGCCCGCAGTAGCCTGCAGGCGGGCGCATGGGGGGGAGGGCGCGGTGAACAAGTGCTGCAGGTGGATCGTATGCTGCTGAGCAGCCCAGGCTTTGCGTGCTGTGGAAGGGTCCCACAGGCTGGCTGCCAGCTGGCGACAGGCCAGGCCCGGGCACAGGCGAACGAAAAAAGGGTGCGGCTGGCCTCGCCTGCTTGGTTCATGGCGGCCTTGGTGGCGGGCCAGCGCCACTCGGGAAAGTTGGCAAAGGACTGGATGCTGACGACCTCGATCGCCCACCTGCAGCCGCAGCCGCAGCCGCAGCCAAGTGAGGCCCCGCGGGCAGCCAGCCAAGGGTCCAGCAAGCACGAAAGCATACGGCTTTCGAGCTAGCTGGCACCACCACCGCACCGCCCCACCCCCCGCCCTGCCTGTTGTAGGAGAGGGAGGTGAGGGCGCGCAGGGCGGGCGCCATGCCTCGGTAGTTGGGGTTCACGCCATTGAGCATGCCGCCCGTGATCTGAGGCAGGAGGGTGGACAAGAGGAGGTGGGCGTGTATGGGGGAATGGGTTCAAGCAGCAGCATAGCCCCGCCAGCTGGCGGTTGCGCCGGCGCCGACACCGCCTGCAGCAGCGCCTGACACACACCGGCACAGAGCAGGGCCCAGGCAGCCATGGCAGTCCATCGCCG